AGCCCACTTCCTTGCAATCTAATACATTTTTATGTTCCCTCCAATGGGCACCTCATAATGGAACTTTAATAATCAATGATATAATTTATTGGATCTTATATTGGAAGCATTACTTGGGAAGATGAGACTATTTTTTTATTAAAAAATTTTTTTGGTGGTGGGGGAGATAATTAGGTTTATTTATTTATTTATTTTTATTTTAGAGGAGGTACTGGGGATTGAACCCAGGACCTTGTGCATGCTAAGCATGCTCTCTACTACTTGAGCTATATCCTACCCCCCAGGGACTATTTCTATAGGCCGTGGTTTAACTTATAAGAATAATATAACTTGCAAAACTGATGAATATGTTGGCCCATCCAAGAAACATTTTTACACAAAGCTTTAGCCTACCAGCCCCTACGTGCTGATTATCAATTAGGTATCAATTGGGTTAAGCTAAGAGGAGAACTGACAAATTCTCAAATTGTAAAATGTTTAGGAAAACAAGAAACTAAAACTAATCATCAATTTGTAAAGCTGTTATGTGATAAAGGAGAATTCTTATGTGTAGCTAATCAAAAATCTGCTTTAACTATATACATCACTAATACATTTTCAAAGGCTAGTCACTTAAAACCAATATTCTTTAAAATTAAAAAATCAGCCTTTTGTAATATTTATCACGGTTTTATCATGTATACTTATAGGGGCTTGTTGGATGTATAGAATATTAATAACAGCTCGAAGAGAAATCAACAATGCAATACAAATTGTATGGAGAATCTGCTGTAACAAAACAGTATCAAAAGAGGAAATGATTGTGGGAAACTGAACTTTAACTTAACCTTACTAATGAACTTCAACTTACTGGGGCATGTCGAAGGATATGACTAATCTTATGTGTAACTTACACTATTAGGGGCCACCCTAGGAGGTACTGATAGAGCATTTTAGAGAATAGAACATCAAAGCAAGTCCGATAAGGAATTATAAAAAACAGGATGTGAGAGTAAGATCAATGTAACTACCGATGCAAATTGGATATCTGCAGACTTTTACTAAAAGTAAACAATATTTTGGCTTACGTATTTTTATTATTCTATTTATCCCTCTATTAAGTTGTCAATAAAAATCCATTCATTATTTTCTTGGTCATATTGCCAGGATTTAAATTATACATCTTTGACTTTAATAAGTATAATACAAACTAGTATCAGAGAAATGCAAATCAAAATTGCAATGAGGTATCACCTCACACTAGTCAGAATGGCCATCATTCAAAAATACACAAATGACAAATGCTGGAGAGGCTGTGGAGAAAGGGGAACCCTCCTACACTGCTGGTGGGAATGCAGTTTGGTGCAGCCACTGTGGAAAACAGTATGGAGATTCCTCAAAAGACTAGGAGTAGACTTACCATATGACCCAGGAATCCCACTCCTGGGCATGTATCCAGAAGGAACCCTGCTTCAGAATGACACCTGCACCCAATGTTCATAGCAGCACTATTTACAATAGCCCAGACATGGAGACAGCCTAAATGTCCATCAACAGATGACTGGGTAAAGAAGTGGTATATTTATACAATGAAATACTATTCAGCCATAAAAACCAACAACATAACGCCATTTGCGGCAACATGGATGTTCCTGGAGAATGTCATTCTAAGTGAAGTAAGCCAGAAAGAGAAAGAAAAATACCATATGAGATCGCTCATATGAGGAATCTAAAAACAAAACAAAACA